CTGCCCAAGCGGGCAATCCACTCACCTCAGCCTCCCAAAGGCGCGGGATTACAGGCTGAGCCACCGAGCCCGGCTGAGGCACAACAATTCTTGAGGACAATTTCAAAAAGCGTATCAAGCATTTTGAAATGTGCAGTCTCTTTAGGATTTTATCCTGAGGAAATAAGTAAGCACAGATGAACAACTTAACTATAAGAATGGCCACTGCAACATAATTTGTAATTGTAACGGTGAAAAGCTTTTAAAAGGCCCAAAATGATGAAACCACTTAATGAAATATTAGGCAGATACTGACATTATTTTGTGACTGGATATTTAATAACGTGGGAAAAGATTCAAGCAAAGAATGCTTAATGCTAGCTGCAAAGCACTATGTTCAAAATGGTCTATTTTTATTTTAAAAATTGCATAGCAAAGTCTATAGATTCACACTCACGTAAGACCAGAAGGACAGGTGCCAAATGGTTACGGTAATTATCCTGGATTGAAAGATCTAAAGAGATTTAATTTTCTTCTTTCTGTCTTGCATTCAGTATAAATTTCGTTAGTGAAAATGCATTATTTTTTAAAGAAGAAAAAAATCCAACACGATTGGTAGCATTTGACAAACGTGTTCTGTTTTACACATCTCTTTTTGTATTTTAAAGATGTGGGGTACAATTCAAATTTAGGTATACAAGTGGTCATTGTGCAGATAAAGTTTGGGCCTCCCTTTGGTCCCCACTTTGCCTGGTTTGAGATCAGGTACCCTTACTGATGTTATGTCCCTTCCCTTCCCTGGCAGTGTGTCGCTACTGCCAGTCCCTTTCTTATAGTATTATGGTAAGAGTTCAGGGTCCGCTTATGAGCAAGAACATGTGGTACTCAGTTCTTTGTTTCTGTGACAGTCACTGAGGATGATAGACTTTATCACAGGTCTAATTTTTGCTTGCTCTTGAGATCTGTAGGCCCTCTTAGAAAATATTTAGCTTGGCTAAAGATGGGCAAAGGATTCATCTGTGAAATTTGGGAGAAGCTGAAGAAAACCTTGACAACTGGATTAGACTCTCTCCTCCATCCAGGGGGTCTGTTCAGAAAGTCCTCAGGAAGTTGTTGGGAAGTGAAGATGCTGAGAACCCCTAATTCCAGCCTGGCCTGAGGTTGACTCTGGGTCACATGACTTGTCACGTGCTATCCACACTAGGTGATTTCTGAGAGTGGAAAAGGGAGTTACCATTAATAACATTGGGAAAATAGGTGTTCAGGACTGTCCTGGGCAAATCAGGACGTATGGCCATCATGGTTATAGGAAATTCATAGATTCATGACACTGATTACTGAAGAATCAGGGGTGTCCAACTTCCTTATTTCACAGATGAGGAAACCAAGGGTTAGAGAAAGGAAAGCGTGTTGGCTAAGCCACATGAGTTGTGAGCACCCTGTTCTGAAGTTTAAATCAAAAGACACTCCCATGGGGGCAATAGGGAGTGAATCGCCTTTAAAATTCCATGACAGAGAGTATGCAGAACTTTTTTCTCTCCAGACACTTCGCTGAAAAGAGTCAGATCAAAACTGACCCATGTCTTTTGGCTTTTAGAACTCACAAAAAATATCCTGAGACCAGCTGCAGGGAGCAGTGCAGTCTTCCTCAATCTTTTTTCTTAAGCTAAATCTTCGAAATACGTTATTCACTCAACAAGTATTGCAAGTATTAATCAACACCATGAGCTGTATAAAAGCCATAAAATTTGGGGTATACATGTCAATTCTTGTAGGCAAAATAGATCAGGAAATGTCTGAATGATACTTCTATACGTTTCAATGAAACTTTGTTCATTTCAGTGTTAGAACATTTCAGTGTTCTCTAATTCACTTAGAAACAAGCAGGTTCCCTTATTCATGTCTTATTGTTCAAACTGATTATACATTTTTCTTTCCTAAAAAGTTCGCAAAGGTATCATTATGGTTTTCATTTGCATTTTTCCTTTCAGAAAATATGTTTTTGTGGGCCACATTAGTTCCCAAAGAAGCTGAATTGGACAGTGGGAAGAGAAGAGGCTCTGGAGCCATAAATGCTGTATGTATTTCAAAAATTCTAAGATGTACATTTTTAGTTAAAATGTAGGATTTTTGCTAACAGGCACACTTTAATATCTCTGAAATCAGAATGCATCTTATTATCAGAAGAAATCGTAAAATCTCGACTTTTTTCCAGGGAGATATGCGATTACTTCTGCTGGTCACCAGGTGGCACTATTAATCCAGGACCACTTTAAACTAAAGTCTGCTTGAGGTTTTTTTTTAGATCACGTTCAGAGTGTGAATTCATGGGGCAAACCTATGCACATTCTATTTTGGAGCTTAAATTCTTGGGGGAGACTTTTCCCTTTATTTAATAAACATCAGGGTATAGGCATGTGGGTTTCCTCATTGCCCTTGTCTACAGGTGATTTTTTTGTTTTTTTTTCCTGTTCATTCTTTCCCTGAGAGTGTAAGCCCAGCTTATTAGCGTGTGAGTGTGTGTGTGTATGTGTGTGCGTCCTCTTAGACTCTCATGGGGGGCTTTTCATTCTGAGTGCTGCATAGAAAAAAAGAGCATCTCATACTTGATAGTACCTTAGAGTCAGTGAAGAATGGTAGCTGGGTTTTGAGATCTGTGATCTTTACTTAACCTCTTGGATGCTCAGTTTTCTCTCTTGTAAGTGGAATGAATAGTCCTGTTTCTCTGAGGATGTAATAAATGGATATATTTCAAGCACCGGATAGCTGTACACTGGTACTACTCTCTGATTCTGGAATCATATGGATTTGGAAGACTTTCAAAAAATTTTGAGTGGACTCTGGGGCCCCTTCCTACTTAACCTGTCCCACAAACCCCTTCCCTGTGCTCTCACAATCATCCAAAGTTAAAAAACAAAAGGAGGATGAAGACACAGGGTTGTATTCCTCATACAACAGCCTGGGAGAGCAAGTCCTGGGGAATGCCAGCCAGAGGCAGTGCAGGGAACAGAGGAGGCAGATTCCACTTCTTCTATTGAGAGTTGGACTTCGGGAAGGCTTCACAATTATTTCTCTATGTCTCCTTTCATCAAGTATAAGACGAGGTTCATAATAACATGTATTTCATACTACTGTTATTCCATGTATACAAACGGCTTAGAAATAGTGCCTGGTACTTGGTAAACAGCCAGTAGATGCTACTTATTAGATAGATATTTTCTGCCCAGACATAATTCAATCCCTAGAGAGGGTCTCAGAGGGAGAGTCAGTGAGGAATGTCTGTGACAGGAAGGGAGTGAATGTTTGCTCATGTGCCCTATTGCTGTCACAATTGTCGCCACTGGGGAACCCATGCAAGGCACAGCACAAGCAAGGTGGCCCATGGCTGGACCGGCGGTGGACAACGTTCGTGCTTATTAAGGGTGCTGCCCTTGGACTCTTCTAGAAAAACCTCTCCTGAACACAGAAATCAACCTCAGACTTGCTGACCCTTCCCAGGTCCATTCCTGCTCCAATACCAGATGGCTGCAGATGAGATTCAATAAAACCCACTAGAAATTGTCTATAGTCTGCAGGGGTGAGGTCATTAGTGAAGTAAGTACATGTTAAGCAAAAATAAACAAAAGGGTTTTGTATAGCTCTGCACACAGGTATTTGCACAGGCTAATTGAGAAGACTCTTTGTAAAGTCACCTTGCGATTCCTTGTTTCTTCAATGCAGTAAACAGGAAAGAAAATGCATTTAGATTTGAGCGTTAAACCCTTAATTATATTACCCTTAATTATATTACGAATAAAAGAAGCCCACCTGCTATTTTGTGTTGTTGTTGAGAGTTGAGTAAGGCAAAATGTTTCTTTTCCTTTTGTTTTGCTAGAACATAGACAATGCAGGTTAAATTGGGAAATGCAGGTGAAGGTATTAATTTCGGAGTTTGCAACCTTTAGGTAGTTGTCAAAGAAACTCGTTGGGAATGGTGCATGTGCACAGAATTGTGAATTGCCCAAACTGAAAAAAACAAATGTCCCAGGCAGCTGAGCAAACTCACACACAAAAAATTGCTCACTGGAGCTTTACGGAGTATTGGATCAAACTCCTGAAATTTGCTTGCAAATTCCCTGCTGTTCTTGCCTGAGGCTTCTGCAGATGCCAAGCACCTCCTGTGCTCAGTCAAGGAAGGTCTGTCAGCTTCCATCAGTGCAAAGGAGCAGCCTGGTTCAGCAGGGGCAACACCCTATCTTCCCAGTCCCCTTCACAGTTCAAATCTGGAGTGTCGTAGGGACGTGGGAAAAAGTCATCAAATATGGTGATAGCTGCCATTTTTGAACACTTCGCCTCATCAAAGCATTGCCCTGGAGCCCCTCAGATTAATCTATGAGGGAAGCACATTCATTATCATCATCGTACAGAGAGGCACTCTTGCTCAGACAGGTTAATTCACTTATCGAAGGTCACGTAGCCAGGAAGTGGAGGTGGAGTTCAAACGTGATTCTGAATCCACAACCCATCTTCTTTTTACTATGCCTAGAAAGGGGGTCCTGACCCAACAGGCAACTGGAAAAATGGGGTAATAAATGCCTAGAATCTAAGAAAGACAGTTTTTATCGCTAATGCTTGCATTACGTCATTGGGGGCGCCCTCATACATTACGTTACAACGGTTGTAATAAATGTGAATTCACCTAAAAACAAAGACAAGTGGGTATTCCTGTCACTTGGCTTAATAATCTCAAAGTGGAAGAAACTCTTTTGATGCTTGCTGAGCTACAGAAGTCTTTGTTCTTTTGGTCCTCTTTTCTTTAAAGAGCAAGCTGAGGCTCTCTGTATCTAACCAGCATCTCCTGTCATGGCCTTCAGTCTACTCATGATTTTCAAAGAGAAAAAGGAAAGACAGTACCAAACCGAACCAAAACAAACGAACGAACACACACCCCGGAACCACAGCCCCTGGGCTCTCTCTCCAGTCCCGTGAACATTTACAACAATTTACTCAGAAAAAGAGCCGCTGTGCAGACCCAGCTCTACCTTGTGCTCCAGGCTGGAGTCTTTAAACATCAGTGAGAATGGCTTGATATGCTCTCTTCTCAACTTATCGCCACTCCGCAAGTCGATGGTATGTTCTATTCTCTTGTTAATTTCCTCAGGCCCAGACTGGACATGCAAAGCTTGTGCAAGATGGTTTGGAAGCAGATTTATTGAATTTCTTGTTAGGGCAGCCAGAGTCTAGGGGGAAAGCACATGCACACACAATAAACCTGCGAGTCCCCTTTGGATCAAAAAGAAATGCAATGTTTTTAGATCATGTTGCCCTGCAAACAGTCACAGCATTCCATGCAGTCGTATTCAGTGAAACCTACAGAAGTTGATCAGATAGCATTTGGTTCAGAGAAACACAACCTGGCACAACATCACATCAAGAGGGACATTTCCCTTTCCTCTGTGTAGGTGCACTGAATTCCTTTGGTTGAGGTATTTGGAGAGTGTTCACAAACACCCTTTCTCTAGCCAGGCACATCCCAGGTATGAGAGAAAGAGAGCCAGAAACATAACCAGAAAGTAAATACATCTTAAAAGCCCACAAAAATGATCACCTCCAACTGGGTAGATTTCACATTTTCGTGTGGTCTTTCATTTAATGCTGGTGGAGAGACTTGGGGTCCCATGGCTTGCATTTTTTTTTCTCGCCTTCCTCATCGACAGACAGCCAAATGTGCCAGGATTTGCTCCTTAAACTTGATAAAGATTGTTACATGTTATCACTTCTCGAATAGGTCCCTCCCCCTGGCATAGACCATGATATATCTATATGTTTATATAGATATATGTGTGTAATTTTCTTTAGGCAAAAAAAAAAAAAAAAAATGCAAGCAGTTGCAGCCCCCTACCATTTCACAGGGTTAAACAACACAACATAGGGAACGGCACAACCGCTGTGGTTGATCATTGGATATGGATACAGGGATGCAGGAATTGCATTGGCTTATGACGACACACCAGGTTTGGCAGAGAGGCCCTGTCTCCTGGTGATTCAGCAGCCGTGATAAGATCAACTGGCTGGATCTAGCCAAGTGCAACGCTCACTCACAGCTTCCATTTAAGACAGCTTCTTTGACCAAAAAAACCCCCAAAAAACAAAACGTGTGAGTTGGGACTGAAGGGATATAGGGACAGAGGAGCCCATCCCATCCCCCCGAGGGATTTCCTTGAGGTGAGGTATTGGAAGTGAGGCATCTGTAGAGTGAATAAGAAAGCGAGAACCTCTTGCCTCTGCCTGCTTCACTGTGTCTACTTTTTTCTCTGCCAGCCTCTCAGCTTGGCTATGTTTAGAACACAGGCTAGACTGAGACAGGATTATGGAGTCATCAAATGGCAGCCTGCGAGAGGCAGCAGAGGACCCTGAGACCCTCCCCCCC